TCCTTAAGAAACACTAGGTGAACACAGAAAACTGTACCCAGCTGAACTGAGTCCCATAGGGATACACAAACATATATACACATATATACACATCTCAAACACCTAACGATCAGCTACATCAGTTTGCTGTGTGTGTTATGAGCCACACCCATCCATATCTGGTGTTACAAGTTTCTGTTCAATTTCAAATAACTTCTACCATTTGATAATGGTAGAACCCACAGATTGCAACACTTTCCATTGCTTTAATCCATACTCAGTGTATATGGGGAATGGGGTGGTGGAGTGAATGGGAGAGAAAGGAAACTAAGAAGAGACCAAGTTTTGGGTTGTGGTGACTGGATAGATGCTGACGTAAATTCACCGAAAATGCAGGAGACAGAGCATGGGTGGGGAGAAGGCGAGGAGTCCATTTTGGACATGTGATGTTTTAGCTGCCTGGAGGACACTGAGATGGGCATCTGATCTTTGATTCTGGGGACCTGAAGGTCAGCAGAGAGCTCAGGGTTGGAAATAGAGTGGGGTAGAGGTGGTGGTAGTGAATGAAAGCACATGGCCCTGGGAAGCCCAAGATGACCACAGAACATCAAAGGAAGAAGCAGCAATGGAAAAGTCAGAAAATGCATGGTCAGAGATGCTGGAGGAGACCCGGGAGGGAGGTAAGGGGGCCAAGGAGGACAGGGTTTTGAAGGAGCATGGACAGCATTATGGCTACCTGTGATTGAGGTTTCCGTGGTCAGTGTTACCCCACCTAATCATCAGACCTGTCCCAACATGTAGGTAAGAGTGTACACATTTCTTTCAAGAAATAAATGGAGGGACTTCCCTGGTGGTCCAGTGGTTAAGACTCCGTGCTCCCAACGCAGGGGGCCTGGGTTCGATCCCTGGTCAGGGAACTAAATCCCTCATGCTGCAACTAAGAGTTCACATGCCTCAACTAAAGATCCCACCTGAGGTCCATGAGCCATGGCCGCTGAGCCTGCGCGTCCGGAGCCTGTGCTCCGCAACGGGAGAGGCCACAACAGTGAGAGGCCCGCGTACCGCAAAAAAGTAAATAAATAAAGATCCCACCTGCTGCAACTAAGACCTGGTGCAGCCAAATAAATAAATATTTTTAAAAAAATGGAGGCTCAGATTTGTTTTGAAAAGTTGACTAAAACCACTAAGAGAGGAAAGCAACATACAAACTCCCTTCTCCCTTTCTCCGATGCTGGAGTGAGCCTGCCAGGCCGCACTATCTCCTCAGTGGGGAGGCAGAGGCCAAGTTCAGTGGGTTAAGGAGGGAATGGTAGGGGCTTCCCTGGTGGCGCAGTGGTTAAGAATCCGCCTGCTATTGCAGGGGACACAGCTTCAAGCCCTGGTCCGGGAAGATCCTACAGGCCGCAGAGCAACTAAGCCCATGCGCCACAACTAGTGAGCCTGTGCTCTAGAGCCCGTGAGCCACAACTACTGAGCCCGCGTGCCTAGAGCCCGTGCTCCGCAACAAGAGAAGCCACCGCGATGAGAAGCCCGCGCACCGCAACCAGAGAAAGCTTCACAGCAACGAAGACCCAACACAGCCAAAAATAAAGATTAAAAAACAAATTATTTTTAAAAAATCACACGCAGAACAAGGAGGGGATGGCAGGTGAAGGTCAGGAGACAGGAGACAATGCTGTGGAGCGGGGTGGCGGGAGGAGAATAAACGGATTATGTGAGGAGGAGGAAGTGAAGGGAGCAGGAAAGGCTGTTTTTGTTTGTTCGAGGATGAGGGCACCATGGACACTCACTTGTTCAGTTAGCAAACATTTATTCCTGTTGAACGTTCACTCTGGGCACTGAGGATGTGGCGGTCAAAGTCCCTGCCTGCCCTCGTGACATTTCTGTTTTAACAGGGGTGTCAAGCAAGAAACAAGAAAGCCTTTGAGAACTATATAGTTGTATGTGGAGGTGGGTTCTACTGAGCACAAGCAAAGTGGGTGGAGCGTAGAGACCTGGGGGTGGAGCAGGCGATTGTGGGGAAGCAGGAAAGGCCTCCCTGAGGAAGTGATGCTTCAGGAGAGACCTGATCTTGTGAGACCTCGAGGGACTGTTGATGGGATGCAGGGGTGGGGCTGAGAGGGTCTTGAGCAAGTGGACGGCATGCTCTCCTGGATTTAAGCGGGGATGGAAAAGGTCGTGGAGAGGCAAGGGGCCAGGGGAGATGTCTGCCTTTGCCGGCGATAGGCCCAGGGCTGGCCGTGGTGGTAAGGAGAGATCTTCCTCTGAAACAGGAGGATGGGCTCTGAGGAGGGTGGGTGTCAGTAGAGGGACGTGGATATGGGGTGAGCTCAGTGGGCAAATGTGAGCCGAAGGTCGAAGAGTAGGAATAATGGAATTACAGTGGAATCGAAGCATAGAGTCAGAGGCAGGGATGCCGGCGTTTGGTTTCAGAGGAGGAGTGGTCCTGTGATACCGAAGTCCTGGGTCAGCCATACCTCCAAAAACTATTTTAAGCCCTGGCTAGCTCCACAAGCTTTGGAATCAGTCCAGCTTGGGTACAAGACCATTTCTACCAGCAACTGATCGTAGGCAAGTTGCTTAGTCTCTTTAAGCCTGTTTCCTCATCTGAAAATGAGAATCATAGTACCTGCCTCATAGGGCTGCTATGAAGAAGAAATGGAATACCTTTTGGCCAGCCCATGATTACCTCCTGTCTCTGAGATCTAACCGCTAACCCCCAGAGGTGGCCCCCTGCAGCTGTCTTTGTACAGTGAAGCTCTGATCCTTGAGACTGCACTCCCGGGAAATAGTATAGGTAACATAAAATGTGGCACAAGCTTCTGATCCCACCTGCGTCGCCCAGGTTTCCAAAGCACAGCATAACATAACATGGTAGAAACTACCTGGCCTTCGGTCATACCAGGTACTGTCTCCACAGGGCCAGTGATTTTCCAGTGTTAAGAAACTGTTCTGTATGTGTGCGTGTGTGTGAGTGTGCAGTGTGTGAGGTATGTGTATGGTGTGTGTGCCTGTGCACGGCGGGGGGTGAGCAGAGCTTCCTGTCAGCCCCTTCCTGAACCGGTCAGGTGGACAAGGAAGAGAGACCGAGCCCAGCTCTTTTTCTGGGGCCAGAAAATTCAGGTATCAGACAGACTGGGTCACACTCTGCACTCTTTCTCTGAGGTCAGGTTCCCTCTTGTGCTATAGCACTTGTAGAGGAAGCTGCACACTTTTTTTTTTTTTTTTTTTTTTTTTAGCGGTACGCGGGCCTCTCACTGTTGTGGCCTCTCCCATTGCGGAGCACAGGCTCTGGACGCG